CCCTAAACTAGCCTTAAATGCGAGGTTGACCAACCTAAACCAACACAAAACCGACCCTAAACAAAACCGTAAATCCACCCTTCCCATGCGAAACCAACCCTAAACCCACCTACCCCCCCCCCGCCCGAACCCACCCTAAACCAACCCTAAATCCAAAACCACTCCTAAACCAACCCAACCCTAAACCGTTGCTTAGTGCAGTTGCCGCAAACTTCGGCCATAGGGTTGGCAGAAAAGAAATGGAGGGTTAAAAGGAAGAGGTGGAGGGTCAGAAAGAAAGGGGGGAGGGTTAAAAAAGAAGGGGGGAGGGTGTAAAAAAACGGGGGGAGGGTTGAATAGAAAGGGTGAAGGGTTGAAAAAACAGGGAAGGGTTGAAAAAAAAGGTTTGGAGGGTGAGAAAAAAGGGTTCCCCATTGTAGACCAATTGTATGGATTTCTTTGTGGTTCAAATTTGAACCATATTTGGGCTCGTGTGTTCATGTTTTTTTGTGGAGTGCTGGAACGTGCCCCCTAATAGAGGCTGTTTGAAGTTGAGCATTGGTTTAGCATTGGGTCTTTTCGGATTTTGGTCCGAAAAACAACATATTTAAACTAAGAGGGGCAGATTTACTGTTGGGGGGAAGGGATTATCGTGCAGTAGCACTGATGCGTCAGAAGGAGCATGATGCTGTTGATGGGTGAAATGTTGTACCAGATGTCACATCAAACGCTCTGTGCAATGAACTTTGTTCTCGGACAGCGTCAGAGGTTTGAGAGAATCCACTGAGCCCTCTCAAGAGGCGGATCCCGTCCCTTCTCGCAGGTTGTGTCCGACTTGTTGTGCAGATGGTGGTGCGCCCCAGGGAAGCTTTGTGATGGAATCACTCAGCCAGCTGGCTAGGGGTCACGCTTTGTGTAAAGCAAGAACCAGACCTAGCCACTCAGAGACTCACTCGTTTGAACATGCCAATGGCGAGTATGTGGGAAATCTCAGGAGGGCAGCACGTGTTCGAAGTCCCTGAAAGCAAGTCACAGGACAGGTTTACCACTGATCAACCTCCAAGCGCCTGCCCAGACGGGACATCAATGGCTTGGCCACTGCCGGGTGTTCATGACGCAATGCGATGCGATGCAATGCGATGCAATGTGATGCAATGTGATGCATAACATGTTGAACAGATCAAGCTATGGAATCGTGTATTTGCAGGTACGCGCTTCCGGATTGGCCGCCAGCAGATGAGGAGCAACATCTCTCCCCACACCAGAACAGAGACTCCTATCGCAGGTGAGAGCCCAACAGGTGCAACTGGACATCCAGAGGCGTGCCAATCCACTGAAATGTGTATACTTGCCCTTGAAATGAGTGAAAGTGCGGTCTCTTAAGCATGGGTGCAAGATGATTTAAGGTTTTGTCTTGCTGGATTGGGATTGGTTTCCAGTTCCCTGGAAAGCAAGCAAGCAAGCAAGCAAGCAAGCAAGCAAGCAAGCAAGCAAGCAAGCAAGCAAGCAAGCAAGCAAGCAAGCAAGCAAGCAAGCAAGCAAGCAAGCAAGCAAGCAAGCAAGCAAGCAAGCAAGCAAGCAAGCAAGCAAGCAAGCAAGCAAGCAAGCAAGCAAGCAAGCAAGCAAGCAAGCAAGCAAGCAAGCAAGCAAGCAAGCAAGCAAGCAAGCAAGCAAGCAAGCAAGCAAGCAAGCAAGCAAGCAAGCAAGCAAGCAAGCAAGCAAGCAAGCAAGCAAGCAAGCAAGCAAGCAAGCAAGCAAGCAAGCAAGCAAGCAAGCAAGCAAGCAAGCAAGCAAGCAAAGCAAGCAAGCAAGCAAGCAAGCAAGCAAAGCAAGCAAGCAAGCAAGCAAGCAAGCAAGCAAGCAAGCAAGCAAGCAAGCAAGCAAGCAAGCAAGCAAGCAAGCAAGCAAGCAAGCAAGCAAGCAAGCAAGCAAGCAAGCAAGCAAGCAAGCAAGCAAGCAAGCAAGCAAGCAAGCAAGCAAGCAAGCAAGCAAGCAAGCAAGCAAGCAAGCAAGCAAGCAAGCAAGCAAGCAAGCAAGCAAGCAAGCAAGCAAGCAAGCAAGCAAGCAAGCAAGCAAGCATCTCTTCTGCCACTGGGTTTAGAACGCCGCATTGAGGGGGTTCAGCTCTATAAGTGCAATTCCGCTTGGATTGGGCTCCTCAGGAGCACTACAAGCCCAAGCTGGAAGCTAGAAAGCTGCGGCACGCCAGGGACCAAGCACGAGTCAGGATGCCAGGATTTGCTGAAGTGAGGACGTGGCCATTCCACACACAATGTCTTGGCAAGTCGGGTATCAAGCAACCGGGCCCCGCCACGCGTTCAAAGGGGAAGACCTGTAACAGGAAGGAAAGCTTTTGCATTTTGATACCTGCTTGGATCAGCAAGTAGCTGATCCGACCCAGCCATGCACCGCGGGTGCGCACAGGTTACGATTCAAGAGTGGGAGTGGGTGCCGGAGCAGGCCTGGTGTTTGATGTGAGCAGCGACCAGCAAGCTGACGTCAAGTGGCGCAGGACGAGAGAGGCTTTCACAAAGTCTATCAGCTTTCGCAGACGGGATCTCAGCAAATGTTTTCTTGGTGGCTGGTGGGCGGCGGCATGTAGAGCTGGATTATTGAATTTATCTTTTAGATGATGCAGCTTCTTGATTTCGCATGAGTTTTGAAACTTGGACAGATGATTTGCTCAGCTCCGAGTCTCAGCATTCCCCTTGCGCGTCCTGAGGTTTCGAGGTGTTTTTCGAAACACAAACGGGGACATGATAGACTTGAGGCCTCAGGCCGGGTCGATGTGTTGCACAACTTGACTGAAGTGGATTGAGAAGAGCGTCACCCTCAATGTCAATTGCGTCTTTCTGTTGGGGTCCCCCTTTTTGGGCTTGTTGAAAAGGGAATGAAAGCCAACCATTTTGGAGGTTCCTATATGGAGGCTCTTATGTTGAGACAAACCCGCATGATGGTCAGACCCGCTTTGAGGCAGCCATGTTGATGCAACCACCGTGTTACGCTACGTTTTCAGACACCAGCGCAGGAGACCTGCCCCTGCTACTCCAACTTCATCAAGAAGGATTTGCCCGAGCTCTACGAGCTTCTCATAAAGGCATACGAGCCGGGTGCCTTACGAGTCCAAAGCGTTGTCCGCGAACAAGTGAACTGCATTCCATTTCAGAAAGGCAATGAGATGCAGAGCAGTGCAAGTTTGATCCACAGAAGTTGCGTGGCAATGCCGATGTAGTGACATTCCGAGTGTGCTTGTCCTGATTGAAGGATTGCCTGCCGCCAAGGAACCAGCTGAAGGTTTTGGATAACTCCAAGTACAACGAGGAAAAGTTCAAGAAGGAGACGGATGCCAAGTTGCAGATGATTTGGCCCACTTGCAAACTTGACAATGGGAGGCCATGTCTGCAGTGAGGCTTGACTTCAACCGAGGTCATCTACCCGTTGCTTAGTAAATGTACTAGTTGTTTTTGGGCGAGTCCCTTGCTTGCTTCCCTCGCCTGCGCATCCCTGTTTCCTGCAGATCTTGCGTTGTCGTCATGGCTCATTACTCCTTCCAACCTTGCTTGTTTCCCACGCCCACCCGGCGCGTTCCAGTTTGGCCGGCCCTCAGGTGGAAGTCTGAATGTTTGGCCGTGTGTTCAAGGAACTTTGAAACATCTGCAGCAATTTGGGTGTGTCTTTTTTAGGGGAAACTCCAAACTCGTGGTTTTCCTTTTGGTTTCCCCTTAGACCCATCAAAAAAGGGGTACCCAAAAAAACAACGCGCATTTCTAGGAGCTTTTATCGACTCTCAACAAGATCAGGGACAAGGCCTACCAGGCGCCAAAAGTGCAACGGGTTCCTCGCTACCTCAAGGACAAGCGGTTGAGGGGCTAGCGGCGAGTTGCAAGGCGGTCTATGCCTGCACAACAGCTGGCGACTCTTGAATCACAAGTCTGCATGAATCCTTGAAAGTCTGCATGAAATCATATGAACGCAGACACAAGCAAAGAAGGATGGCATTCCAGAGTCTTGCTTTACAAGTCCATAACGATGGGTTCCACGCTCTTTATTCATTACACGCATGCAACATGTATCACGCCCGCAAGGTAAGGAGTTAATTGTGTAGACTGCAAGTTATCAACCCAGGTTACAAGTCTTGCATGTTGTTTCATTTTGTCATTTGACATGTTCCCTCTTCAGCCCTGCAGTCTTCACCCGAGTGCATTTCCAGGCCAAGACGATTGCAGGCCCAAAGAGAAGCAGGCCAGGCCCAGCCTGGGGGGCGGCTGATTCAATCGCACTGGGAGAGTGGGAGCATCGCAGTAGCCCGGTCCTAACTTGTTGACGTTCGTGTTGGAATCCTTATGCTGGCTTTGTTCAGAGAGTGTTGAGCCCCTCATTCGCAGGACCTCGACCGCATGAAGCCTGGAAGGGGCGAAGTGGCACGGCGTTTTGAGGGCCTTGTCCCTGGCGGTCGAGCGGAGATAGCTCCTGCCAGCCAGCATTGCGAACTATGCAAGCGCTGCGGGACGTCTTAGAGGTCGCTTGGGAGCGGCTGCAAACAAAATACGCTACATGTGGCTGTGGTTGTCAAAACCAATGGTATCCCATTTTGGGGTTTTCGGTGCACCATCAATTCAATTTTAGAACCTATTTTAGTTGGGATTGGGGTGATCACTGGGGGTACGGGATTTTGACCCATGGCCTTTTCAGGCTCGGTTTGGTCTGTTGTAATATGCGGGTTACGTCTTGCAGTGGCTGTTGGCACGCATGGACTTGGCTTGCCAATGGATCAAGACACGGCCAGAAGACAATGTATGACGCAGCATTGCGCCACTCACAACCGAGACCATCTCCGATACCCATGCACCCAGACAGCACGGTGGCACAGACGCTTGCAGCTCCCTACAGTGAGCCGTAAAGTTTTCAACTCAGATTCTGAGTCCAATTCCATGTTTGTCTTGACATGTCCAAGCTGTTTGACATTGAGCTTGTTTGCAGAGCCCGTCAGTGAAGACTGCCATGAGACATTTTCTTTTTTGGGTACAACACATCACGGTATGTTCTGATCGTCCTATGCGATGCGGATGGAGCACGCAGGTGGGTTACTGCTTCATGAACTCATGACTGGGCATACCTCAGGCATGAAGGAAGCCCGGATGGCGTTCTAATCTACAATCCTTAGAGTATCTCAGGGTAATGGTTTTGTGGTAAAGTGTTTCATAAATGATCCGCGGCAGGAAGCCCATTCTCAGCATGGAGGACCTGTCACGGGGCACAGGCATCGGTTCAAAGTGCAAGCGCTTCAGGAGAACACCGTCGTTGTGGATGGGCTGCCAGAGACTGCGAACGAGGCGTTTTCGAGTCATTGGAGCCCACGGGGACAACAGGATTCCGGCCCAAATATTTGACGGGACCCAATAGAAGAAAGTGCTGCGCAACTCGGAAATTCCTAGCCATCCCCTTAAGTTTTCAGCTTTCTAGGGTTTGGTGGGGTTTGAATTTAACCCACTAAAAGTGAAACTTTTCGACTGGGATCTGAAGACAGCCAGGAAAAACTCTTCAGGGGTCCGAGCTTCCCGCCAGCTTAGTAGTGGTTTAGTGTTGCCTGGTGCTGGTCTAATGGTGGGTTAGAATTGGTTTCAAATTTGGTTTGGTATTTGTTCAGGATTTGTTCAGTACTTGGAATGTTCTGCCGAACATTTCCTGCCTCAATTGAGTACCCTTTTGCTAGTCTTATCTTTGAGTATGTGCACATTTTGAGCAGAGCCTGATTTTTGTGTTTGTTTTCTGCTGAAGACAGTTTATTGTTTTGAGTACCGAGTTGTTTTTCTTCGTTGTTTTCCTCCGCGGATTTGAATCATTCGGCAAAGCCTTCCTGAGTTTACCCTTGGTTTCCATTCTCAACACACATGAGGTGATGCTGGCAAATTTTATTCAGCTGAATGGGCAGTCCCAGCCAGAAATAGTTGCGGCCGTCGAAATTCTTGAAACATGGTTCTGGGAGTACGACCATTTTAATCCCAGGTATTGAGCAAGTGACTCAACCGGCTCAGAGGAAGCGAAGAAACTTTGCCAGGCGGAGATCAGAGACTTCTTCAACGCGGCGCTCTTTACGATCCTCGAGCTGGATCCGGTCGAGGAGGAGGGCGCCCACGCCTTGGATGCGCTGCCTGTCACATCCTGCACCCGGGCCTCTCGGCCAAAGAAAGCGAATCCCAGTCGCTTGGAAAAAATCGCCGGGGCGCTCGAAATGCGGTTTCTGATCATAATTGCGTCCTCCCAGTTCCTTTGGATTGCTAAAGCACAAGTTGATCAACCAAAGTCGAACCCTGGCAAAAGGAACCAAGCACTAAAACCTGCGGTCCGCCGGTCGTTTAATTTTCCATATATATAATATATATATATATATATATTAAACCCAGCTTTCCGCGAGGTGCCGGGGGCTCGCTTCGCCACGCTGTACTTGCGGCTCCCGGCGGCGGTGTCGCTGGCGAAGCTGCTGAACGGCGTCGCATGGTTGTTGTTGGGAAACATTTGAATCATTTTTTGCTGATTGTGGTTTAGTGGTTGAATTCCAACCACAAACCTGCTATTTTTTTGAATTGTTGCTCCCCTTTCAACGTCAACCAAGGTCGAGTTCCAAGGGGTAGCCCTGCAGCTGCAAACCACAGGGCCCAAAGCGGCCGACAGTCCCTTGGACTCGGAAAGGGATGCGGGAGGAAAGCCCTAGAATCGCTGAGAAAAGTTTTGAAGACTTTGACCGGATTTGGGGTAGCATCGCGTAGCCATTGATCCTGTGTTGTTTTATGGTGGTTTAGAATGAGTAGATGTCCACAACTGTTCTCAGTGATGGTTTAGGGTTGGCTTAGATTATAGAGTGTTTTGGTATTGGCCCAGCGGTGGTTATGTTTGTTAGTTAATCCCTCATTGGTTTAGTGGTTAATGGCTTGGTTCTGGATTTTGCGTGCGTTTCTCATAAGCGCTGCGGCATTGCTTGCTAGGTCAATCTGGATTTTGTAGCTCGGCTGGCAGGTCTGGGCTGAATCGGAGGGGTAAATCGCTCTGCGGCGCTTCACGACCTTCATTAAAACCAGACATTTGGCTGTGGGTCAAAACCAATGGGATCCCATTTTGGGGTAGGTGCACCACCCAGTTTAGTCTATTTCAGTGGGGATTGGATGTTCACTGGGGGTACGGGATTTTGATCCATGGCCATCTTACGCATTCTTTTGCTTTTTTGGGACCTCCCCTACGTTCGGGGGGCAGCCAAGACGATGCTAGAGCTGGCGGTTTTTGGTCGTGCTGGTGCTGGTGGCTTTTGGTGGTGGGTTTGTTGCCAGTTCCATTGTTTGCTATTGCCTGGGCATCCTGTTTCCTGTAATGGCTACCCTTGTTTCTCGAAATCAAGAATATGTTTCGGACAGAACATGGGTGTGTCTGTGTGTGTGTGTGTGCGTGGTTTCATGGTACCTCATGTTTGGTGGTTTTAAAGGGAAGCCACAAGGAAAGCCATCATTTTGGTGGGTCCAACCTGAAAAAACATGAGCCCCTACATGTGCCGTGCGATCTGAGTCTGAAATGGCCAGCTCAGCTTGTCCCATCCTTCAGGTCTGGACATGGAGAAGCTGGACACCATCGACCCAGTGCAACTGCTCGGCTGGTGCCTCAATCGGCTCCTCGAACCCGGAGATGAGAGTCACATGGAACCAAGCCATCGATTCACAAAGGAACCTCTCTTTTGGCTCAGTTGTTCAGTGGCACCTTTCTCCCCTTGTTTTTGGTGGCTGCCCCACTAAAAATGGTCCAAGCCCCAAAAAGTGTTCTATTTTTTCCAGGGTCACTGAACAACTGAGTTGGGGGATCTGTTGGGTTCAATCTTTTTTGCCGCGTCTCGTTAGCCCTGGAGACCCTAACCAGCGAGCAAATCTTCAGTCCCAAGGCTTACAGGCCAAAAGCAGCACCAAAGTGGGCGTGAGCTCCTCAGCGTCCGTCGCATGTTCGGGTGTTTTTTCGTGCTGAGCTGCGAACTGCGGGTCATGACCAAGTCATCCCAAAGAGGATTGTCTAAAGTCAAACCAAGCCCAACACCTCCGAACGCCGAAAAGAGAAAGCAAGGACCCTCAGACAAAAGGGCTATTTGGGCTCCAAATCTCCAAGGCGCGAAAGGCGACATGGTGCGAAGGCGGCAGCGTGGAGACGGAGCTGCGGGCCAGGCCTTTGTCTCACTACGAGGCTGGAGTTTGGGTTGCTGGAAGTGCAGAGGCCAAGGACTTCTTTGTTCGATATCTCAAGCGAAAGCTGCCAGTCGCGTGCGGAAAGCAGCTGGAACTTGCATTCGGAGGTGCTGCAAGTGCTGCGTAACGCGGGTCCGGCTGAGCTGGGCGCCAAGTGACATCTCGAAACAGACTTGAGTTTGATTCCCCAAAGCACTTTGTTCCAAGAGCGGCAAGACCATGGTTGTTGTTGGGAAGCATTTTACATGTTTGCTGATTGTGGTTTCGTGGGAATTCCCCACTTAATTCCACAAGGAGTTAGGACCATCAATGACTAGGATCAACTCTGGTACTTCACTTCAGCTTAATTCCAGAGCTCGCCTTAGGCTCCGTGGCGCCTTTTTAAAGCAGTGCCGCGCCAGCCGGGGGCCGAGCCAGAAATGGGTGCGTCTTTTTGGGTTGTTGGTGCTTATTTAGAGACACACCCTCAACGGGTCCGCCGCTTTGGCCGCAATAGCCACAACAGAATTCGAGCAAACTGAGGGCTGGGATAAAGTTAGGAGGCATGTGTTGTTTTGCCATTGACTAAAGTTGAGGCAAACAAATACCGGTTGATGAGCATTATAATATCTATATATATATATATATGTAATCTATATGTATATGTTATCATCATCGTCGTCGTCGTCACCCTCCTCATCATCGTTGTCGTCATCGTTGTTGTCGTCCTCGTCCTCGTCCTCGTCATTCCTCGTCATCCTCGTCCTCATCCTCATCCTCATCACGACTATCATCATCATCAGCATCATCAGCATCATCATCATCATCATCATCAGCATCAGCATCATCATCATCATCATCATCATCATCATCATCATCATCATCATCATCATCATCATCATCATCATCATCATCATCATCATCATCATCATCATCATCATCATCATCATCATCATCATGTATTTGTAGCTAGATATGATATAGGGCCTATGCTGTTTGGCTGATCACGATAGCGATTTGAGTTGACCTACCAAGCATTTAAGATGTTCGGCCTTCAAATGACTTTGGTGTTTGGATCCAGCCATTTAGCTGGCGCTCGGCATGAATTAGACTCTGCTGCGTGTGGAAAACATTTGCCTGATTCTGAGTAGGACATTTTGCTGGGCCGACATCGCGGCTGCTGAAGTAGGACAACTGCACAAAACAAATTAGATTTCAACAGAAGCCTCGGGCAGTGAGGGCAATGGGCACAGGTGCCCGGCTGCCATGTCGCTCGGTATTCCTCGCAGCCGCCCTTCGGTTCAATCCGCGATTATTTCTGGTCAGCGAAATGAAACGGCTTGTGGAAGCTTCGGAGATGCAATTTCAAGGCTTGTTGATTCGATGCACTTGGCCAATCAGGCATTGCCCAATTGCATTCGCGCCCAATGAAAGTTCAATTGCTGAACTTCTTTTTTTTAATGTATTGAATGCCGGCAGTGGTTCCCAATGTGAGCTGCAAAAGGAGACGTGGCAAAGCTTACACCGTGCTCTAAGTCTGTTTCGTTTCGTGTCGCTTCCATGTTCGGCAGACCGCAGTTGGAACTCAAAGCTTAGGATCGTTTCACACCCGTTTGGTTCAGAAGGTTTCCGCGGCCGAGGTCATGACAAGTCCAGCAATGCTATTCCTCTTCACCAGTTGCAAACAGCCTTCAAGACTCTGCAGGCGCCCAAGTTACATGGCGAGAAATGACACATGCCAACTTGCTATTCCAGGGTTGTTCCTTCGGTTTCTTCTTGCCTTCTTGCCTTGCATAATTTGGCCACGGTTGCGTTGGTTGAATGGCTGGATCTGCTTCTGATCTAAGCTGCTGCTTGGATATTGAGTTCATCGCAAATGGAAAACCAACGTGAGGCAAGCTCTGACACCTCTGTTGCCAACTCCTTTACGGCTCCCTCCCACTTGCTAGAAACCACCCTTAAACCACTACGAGACTATCATCTCCTTGCGTGGACACTTGTGTTTTCTTTGGCTTTGGCAATTGCAGAGCCCTGAATCCCTTTTTAGCTGAAGTGCGACCCCGCGCGGTGCAAATGCCTTCTCAAGCAAAAAGGCCCGGAGCGTCACGGGAGCCTTCGACTAAGGTCCGATCCATCTGCGAGGTCCAGCTACGACCACGGCGCTCCACAGTTTCTCCTGGATGCCCTTCAGGCAAGATCGTCGCTGAGAGAACCCCTCAAACTCAAAGCCACCTGGTCAGTGGGAAGTTTGATGGACCCCACATTTTCAGACAAATCCATGTTTTCTGCCTGGCGCGAGGCATAACATGGTCGAATGTGCGAGTCAGGGTTTCGAGCCCAAAGCAAGATTGTCGGGGAAACGAGCAGCATCAAGCACTTGCCAGGGCCACTGGTTTGAACACACATAGCAAGCATATACACGGTGTGTGTTTTGTTGGTTTGGTCCTTGTTTATTTTCAGAACCAGATGTACATGAGGCTCTCAAACAAAAGCGCCCCCTACTTTACTTTGATACTGTAACACGATGTGACACAGCTGCACTGTCCAGATGTGATTCTGTGTCGTTGAGTCAATGGCATCATAGCCTTGCATGTCTATGTTGAAGTTGCATGATATTGGTTTGCGCTGCAATCCTGGGGTGCCTGGTCGGGGCCGTGTGAAGGTGACGTGCGTTCCGTTCGGAGCCAGGCGTACCACATGAAGGATTTGCGTCCAGCGATATTCTTGTCCGGGGCCCGGCTTTGCCATCCACCCACCTTCGGAATTCCCGGGCCGCCGGGCAAAGCCCAGGTTGCGCCACCTGAAGAAGATGAAGGAAGGATTGATCAAGAGGGCCAGCCGCCGCATGTTTTCCGAGCTTAGGCCTTCCAGGATTCCACCCTCTGGATTTTTTTGGGTGTGTTTTGTCCGCCGTGTTTTTCAAGAGTTTTCTGAAGAGCAGGAGTTTCAGGTACGCATGGCGGGGAACAAAATTCAGCAGTGGTCCTCAAACGAAAGAAACCAGGGTCAGTGCTGCGAGAACTACGGGCATTCAGATTGCGATTTGTTTTATTCTTCGGAACCTTTCCGGGGTTTGATTCTGACGTACGTTTGGCAGAGTCTTGCGCTGTCGCTGTTATCCAAAACCACAACCCGGGGACAACAAAGACAAGAAGATACAAAAATCAGGGACCCAGCAGGTTCACATGATGCAGGTTCTACCAGTTGCATCCGTTTTTTTCCAGGAGCTTCTCCTAACAAAACCCTTTTAATCAGACATGTACCTGGGGTTGTCCCTCAGACGGCCGCTTCGTTTCCGGTTCCGCCGAGCGTTCGGTCGGCTCGCCGAACCCATGCGCTGGCCGAGTCGCCAGGTGGCCATGGCGGAGCGGCACGGTGAGGCGTTCCTGGCCATCACCAAGAAGCTGAGGGCGCAGAGTCGCGGCGCTGATGTCTTGGCGCTGGGCTCAGAGATGCCTTGGGCTCTGAGAGATGGTGCGTGGGGGGGCTTGGTGGCAAGCCCGGCAATTCACCCGGTTCCTTGGGCTGTGTTTTTTTTTGATTTTTGAGTGGGTTTAGTGGGGCGGGTTCCGTATTTCACGAAGAGTTAAACTTTTGGCAGGGGACCTGAGGACAGGTCAGGTTTGTTTTTTAGCTTCATGGCATTCTATTGGGGTTTCTTGCACGTAAATCTAGATCTACATGATTCGAATTGATTCAAGGGAGGCGCCCCGTCACAGTCATCCCGAATAATCGCTTCTCCCTCATGGAAAGTGGATCTTCTTTGATGAGGAGCAAAAACTGCTCAGATTGCAACTTTTAAGTAAGAACTTCGAAAGCGGATGCAGTTGAGCGGGTGCGTTTCGTTACCACAGTGCCAGGTGTGAGTGCGCAGTCGAAAGTCTCAACTTAGTATAAGCCTAGTAAAGGAATCGTACTCCCGGAGCTCGGGCTCGAAAATCGCAACTTTCTAGTATTCTAGTACAAGCCTAAAAAAGGAATCGGGTGTCAAAGAAAACGTGGAGCCTTCTTGTTTCAACACACTCTGGAGGGGGGGACCCCCAATAAGCATATTTTGGGAGCTTGGTGGAAAGCATGTGTGGTCTCAGGAGTTTAGTATTGGTTCAGTATTGATCAATTTAAATGTAGTGCCGATTTTTTGCCGCGGCTCGGGGGAGTTTTATTATTAGGGGTAGGTTGATTGATAGGAAGAAGTGATTACTTTCCATTGTATTTTCATGCAATCAGAGTACACTCAGGTTGTGGCGTCACAGAAAGGACTTCCAAGTGAGGCGGGTCATTGTGCAACGCACAGGACCAGTTTCTCAAGAGTAAGCCAGGTGTGGATCGCAGGCAACCGTGGGCAAGCGGAGGAGGTGCAGCTGTTGCTGAGGCACGCGGCGGACGAAGCTTCCCTAGAATTAGTTCTCTTTTTGGGCTAGCTTTTGTTTTTTGGGCAAGTCCCCACCAAAAGAAAGTTTCCCTTTTTGATGTTTTGCTTTTTTTGGGGTCCCCTGTGTTTTCCACCAACTAGGCAAGAACAATATACATATATATATATATATCTAAATATATATATATATATATTTTTTGCTGGGGTCCTAATTTCAGCCAAGGAGGTAGATGGCCGAAGGGCTCCGCCGGATGGGGTCGTTCTCCACGTGCCGCCTGCTTTGCAGCCCGTGGCCGAGTTGGTGCTGTGGTTGTCAAAACCCATGGGATCCCATTTTGGGGGTTTTCGGTGCACCACCCATGTTAGAACCTATTTTAGGCGGGAGTGGGATATTCACTGGGGGTACAGGATTTTGACCCATGGCCTTAAGGGCGCGCCACTTGCATTGGATTGGCACCGCTGCAACTTGTTCCAAGCGACCTTTTGGTTTGTATGTCAAGAGTCAAGACATCTTGCTTGATCGCCCCACATGTGGCAAGCTTCACAACAGTCCCCGAGGTCCAAAATCCCGGACGGGGAAGAGCGCACGCAGCTTTGTGCCTGCATCCAGGCGCAGAGTTGTGCATCGCTAGTTGGAGTGGGCCTGTTTTGTTTGGCGCCAGCTTGGAGCCCAATGGTTCGGTTTGTGTGGCCTGCCTGCAGACACCTCTAGAAAAAGAAACTACGGGTGTGCACACGGCCAGCATCAAAACTCATGGGGCAATAAGTCAAGAGACAAAGACGATGCTTCTGTTTTTGGGGACTTGCTGAAGGAGGTATGGGCGGTAATGTTGGGGAGTGAATAATAAAGGCCCCCCCTCAAACAAAATGGGGGGATCAATAGAGGAAACCCTAAAACAAAATGAGGGTCAGACCGGGTCTTCCCTAAGTAGTATTCCAGTAAGTGGTTAGTATTGGTTTAGTATTGGTTTAGTATTGGTTTAGTATTCTTGCTGACTGGCTTAGTACTGCTTAGAATTGGTTTAGTATTGGTTTAGTGTTGGTTTAGTATTCTTGCTGACTGGCTTAGTACTGCTTAGAACTGGTTTAGTATTGGTTTAGTGTTGGTTTAGTATTCTTGCTGACTGGCTTAGTACTGCTTAGAATTGGTTTAGTATTGGTTTAGTATTGGTTTAGTATTCCCTGGCCCCAGTCCTAAAAAACTTCTCTCAATTTACTCCCCTTAAACAAATCTCATTATTGGCTTCCTGGGTGTTCCCTGTACTACCCCCTTGAAAATTTGGCAGGGTGCAACTTTTAGTAAGGGCTGTCATAAAGAATTTGGGTGTTGGGAGCCTCACTTAAACTTCCTTTTCAGGAACTTCAATCATCATCTCCTTGTTGGTGGTGGTGGTAGGTTGGGGGGGGCGGGCGGGGCAGAGAGAGACGGGAGTTGCACTGAACTAGGGATTAATTATCAAACTTTTTTTGGGGAACATTTTTCCGGATTTTTTGCCCTTCACAAAAACTTTTGTGTATTAACTCCCCCTTTTGCTTTTCAGGGGTGTGAATAATTTTGGGTTTGTTTTTGTGTATTGACTCCCCATTTTTTATTCGAAACCTAACATTATGGGCATCCAATGATTGCACAAGTGTGACGGAAACACCTGCTGGACAGGCTTGAATTATTCAGCTTCCAAACTCCCTGGACCTTCATTCGTTACATCAATTTGTGTCCCTTGGGTGTTTCGTAGCAGACACTTGCTAATCGCGCGTTGTTGTTGTTGTTTTGTTCCCCACCCGACAGGAAGGGGTTGTTAGATTTTATGTTGGAATCCACGTTTGCGATGCTTCTACACCACGCCCCCACCCAGTATCCCGCCAGAGCAGCTCTCCAGTGGATCCCGCCAAGTATCCCGCCAGAGCAGCTCGTCAGTGGATCCCGCCGAGTATCCCGCCAGAGCTGCTTGCCAGTGGATCCCGCCCAGTATCCCGCCAGAGCTGCTCGCCAGTGGATCCCGCCGAGTATCCCACCAGAGCGGCTCGCCAGTGGATCCCGCCGAGTATCCCGCCGAGCCGCTCGCCAGTGGATCCCGCCGAGTATTCTGCCAGAGCGGCTCGCCAGTGGATCCCGCCGAGTATTCTGCCAGAGAGGCTCGCCAGTGGATCCCGCCCAGTATCCCGCCAGAGCTGCTCGCCAGTGGATCCCGCCGAGTATCCCACCAGAGCGGCTCGCCAGTGGATCCCGCCGAGTATCCCGCCAAGCCGCTCGCCAGTGGATCCCGCCGAGTATTCTGCCAGAGCAGCTCGCCAGTGGATCCCGCCGAGTATTCTGCCAGAGAGGCTCGCCAGTGGATCCCGCCGAGTATCCCGCCAGAGCGGCTCGCCAGTGGATCCCGCCGAGTATCCCACGCAGTAGCTCGCCAGTGGATCCCGCCGAGTATCTCGCTGAGTATCCCACACAGTAGCTCGCCAGTGGATCCCGCCGAGTATCCCGCTGAGTATCCCTTGCCAGTGGATCCTGCCGAGTATCCTCCCAGTATCAAGCCGGAGCGGCTCGCCATTATTCGCCAGTGGATCCCGCCAGTGTCCCGCCAGAAAAGCTCGCCAGTCTGGTTTTGCTTAATGTCCCGCCCGGCGCGCAGCGGGGCTGCCCTCGTGGTTTGAGAGGGAAGCTTTTGTGTTGCTTTGGGTTGTGAATAAGCAACTTCGTTTAATCCCCCGTTAGGTTTGTGTTTGGAAGGGGCTTGGCTTTTGTTAACGGAACCGATGTTTGAGTTCTCGAGATCAGCTCGCAGACAAGTGGAGTTTGACGGTCGTAAGCTCGTGAGTGTGGAGGGTGGGGGTTGCTCGAAGCGAAGTAATTTTTTTGTTTTTTCCTCGGGGGATTGGGCGCAAATTTGGATTCGAGGATGTTTGGCTATTGCGGCGGATTCTCTCTTCTCACATAGTCTGTTGCGTGGAACATGTGGAAACATACCCACAAAACGGGCGCAAATACCTGCCAAACGAGCGCAAATTCCTCTCAAAACGAGCACGAATCCAAATCATGTAACAGTTGGTATTTTGCAAGAGCCCGTGCTCATGAAACGAGCATTTTCTGGGAGAACGAGCACTTTTTGGATCATTGGGCGAAGATAGTTGGCCCGAGCAATTCTTTTTCGTGACACAAATTTATGTAACAGTGGAAGGTCCAGGTCTTCTATGCGGGTTTGAACGTGTGAGCCCAGATCCTTGGTTACCTACTGAAGCTGTACCGGGATGCTCGCAAAGTCTTGTTTGCTCTTTGCCCAGTTCAGGCCCTTGGCCCTTTGAATTGCTTTGTTGGCGAGGCTGAGACCGGCTCTACGGTCACCTTCTGCGAAGAGCGCATGGTGGTCCGGGGCGGCAACGTGCCGCGTGCGGTGGCCATGCTGCAAAACCCGATCCTCTTCCGGGGCACGGTACGTGCCTTCGATGGGACCGAGGGTTGGCCAACGAACAAGTCTTCAAGCGGGCCGTTTTCCCAACACGGTTTTCCCGGACGCAGGACTGAGCTGGACGGCTGGGCCTACAGCTTGATGGCGGAGCAAAACTCCGCGCCGGACGCGCTACTGTGCCCGGAGCGGGAGCCGGACCGGGAGGCCTGCAAGGGTGGACATATAACGAAGGTCTTGCCCTTTTCCCTTTCTTGCCAGTTTCAAGAGGAGTTTGCTCGCAACATGCCCCGTAAACACTGGGGTTCCATGCGTTTTGGGGCGTGGCGGTGACTTCAGCTCGAGGAATGCGAGGGGCTGCTGCGGCGCGTGTGCGGCCTTACGTTGCTCAGTTTGATGGATATGGCGGACAAGGTCCTGGACGGCCTGCTTGAGGGCCAGGTGCTGGAAGTTGGAAGGGAGGCGGTGAAATGACAACAACATCTTAGGGCGTTAGGGTTGATGCTCCGGTTGGCGTCAAGCCGAGCCTTCCTCGTGTTTTGGCTTCGAACCGTTGAATCAGAACGACTCCCCAAATTGACGCACACTGTCCCCCGAATTTCCTGGCGCACAGAATGAATGGTACCAAGGGTTTTCCCTAGGGTTCACTCCAATTGAAAGAATGGTTCACCCAATTTGCATGATGAAACTCCGTAGGTTTAAAAAAGAGGCAAAAAAAACGGTGGTTATTTGAACCCCCTTTGATTTCATGCCCCTGACTTTTGGCTCGCGAGGTGCGAGTGAGCTTGACCGTGATTCGGATTCTGGTGAGCGACGTGGTGCACCACGAGGTGGCGCAGCTGGACCTGGCGCTGCGCGCCAAGTTCGTGTCGGGCCTCGTGCGCCTCTGGATCGCCTTCAAGCTGCAGAGGCCCGTGGGCAGTAATTGGTGCCAACTTTGACCCTTTCTTTTTTGGGGTTGACGGTTCCCCTAAAATAGACCACAGAAAAAAGAAACGGTACCCTTATAGGCTCTGTACTAGAGGACCTAGCAAAAAGAGCCGCGCGCAATAAAAGCGCGAAAAAAGAAAAGGAAAAACAAAAACGCTGGGTTTGGATGGCAGTGGATGAATTGGGATGAATCGATGAAGTATCAAACTTTCCGGACCAGTTTGATCCTGTTGGGCCCGAAAGTTGGTAGCCAGTGCTAGCAAGGTGCAACAGTGCGGAACAAGCCATGTCAATGCGAGTGCACAAGCAGCGGCTGTACCTCAAGTCAATGATGCCTGTTTCTTTAGAGGCCTCGTAGCCCAGTCGGCTGTCTCACATAGCCCGTGCAGGCGTTTGGGGAAGTTTGCCATGAACCCCATTCTGCGGGTTTTGTGGCACGTGCCCAACGTGATCGGAGCCACACAGATGATGGTGGTCCCTGCCATCACAGAGCAGCTGCAGGCGGTGGTCCACGATGGTTGGACGCCTTGGGCAGAGGCAGGGGAGAGCTGGCCCCAAGTTTGCCGGGCCAATGCTTTTTGGCAAACCTCGGCGCCTCTTCGTGAGGAATCTTTGCCCGTACGTAGGGTGGCGGTTTTACAGCAACGTATGATGACTGGCCGAGGTTGACACCCGCGTGGCTCGAAAGCGATCCGATTGCAATCGCAGGTGTTGCCTGCCATCAGCGGTCACCTTTGGCGGATCCTGGAGACATCAGCTGCGGTGGCGAGTTTGCAGCCCGATGCATCCTGGGCCCAGCAGCCCGCCGTGGCGCTGTTTATGCTGCCCTACCTTTGCAGTGCTTTGCCTGCATTGCAGAGATACACATTTATAGATACATAGATACACAGAAACATTGCAGTGCATTACATTGCATTGCATTGCATTGTATTGTAATACATTCGTACATACATGCGTACGTACATACATACATACGTGCATCATGCATGCGTGCATGCGTGCATACGTGCATTCATACATACATACATACATACATACATACATACATACATACATACATATATACATGCATACGTGCATACCTGCATACATGCGTACGTACATACATACATACATACATACGTGCATCATGCATACTCGCATACGTGCATACGTGCATTCATACATACGTGCATACATGCATGCGTGCATGCATGCATACGTGCATTCATACATACATACATACATGCATACATACATACATACATACATACATACATGCATACGTGCATACCTGCATACATGCATGCATACATACATACATGCATACATGCATACATACATGCATACGTACATGCATGCGTACATATATACATGCATACATGCGTACATGCGTACATGCATAAATGCGTACATGCATACATGCGTGCATGCATACATACACACAGACACAGAGAGACAGAAAAGACAGACGAACAGACAGAGACAGGGACAGAGACAGAGAGAGGAAGAGAAAGAAAAGAGACAAAAGCGAGACACAGGACGCACGGCATACATGCATCGTGTTGCAAGTCCGCTGCGATGCATTGCGTTGGTGCAAACCACAATGCCGGACAGATAATACAAACATGATAGATGCCATGATGCTGCAACACATGCAATCATGGCATGATGTTGAAACATATACAGCAGCATGAGACAACACAGTTTCACAATACAATAATAGTGCAGCGCAACCACAACCGTGACCATGACTGCAATCACAACCACCGCCCAACACGAACACGAGCACGAGCACGAGCACGAGCACGAACACGAACACGAACACGAACACGAACACACACACACACACACACACCCACACACACACACACACACCCACCCACGCACGCACGCACGCACGCACGCACGCACGCACGCACGCACGCACAATTGCACAAGTTTGAGCAATTGCCATATGGCAGTTGATGCCAAGAGTCGCCCAAACGCCCAAAGCTAGTTGAAGCAGTTATTGACAGTCAGTGCTACATTACTGAGGTCATGCCTTCCACATTGCCGCCGCTGGTGTTCAGCGTAAAGTGGCAAACGTCATGGCGCAAAACCAGTGGTTTGCTCAGTATGCGGCTGCTATGGGGCAGCAAGCGCCCACTATGCCAGCCCCGGGACCTTTGCCAGCGGGACCCGTATCGCCGCCCCCGCCTCAAAAGCCAGCAAAAGCAGCTACAAAAGCAATGCCCAAAGATGGCACAGCTGTGCCTGTGCCACCGCCGTTTCCTGGGCCACCGCCGGTTCCTGGGCCGCCGCCTGTGCCTCCGCCTGTGCCTGCACCGCCGCCTTCGGGGGCCCCAGCACCGCCTCCTGCGCCACCCAGGCCACCTGCAGACCGGAGCCGCCAGGAGCGCAGCACCAGCAGCCGCAGCCGCAGCCGCAGCGCCAGCCGCAGCTCGGCAGTTCTGAGCCCGTGAAGCCATGATCGTGTTCCGGGGGTCACTCCCTTCTGGCAGCGTTGACCAAAAGCTGTAAATGAGATGCTGCTGGTGTTAGCAAAGACGAAGGAACTCCCTTCTTGTGCAGTGAATCACCTCCTTTTGTTCACTGGCCCAAGGCGTGGATGTGGCCAAAGACATCACCGATGCCTCCCTGCGAGAGGAGCCTGGTCAGGTGACACCTGCGCGGGCCGCGGAAATCTTGTGCTACGCCGCATCCAAAGGAAAGCGCTTGCCACAGGCGGGTACGAAGATGCTTGCTTGTGCAGAGGCCCCTGGAGCAGAGCTTTGGGACGCTTCAAACTGGCACTTGACCACTCTGTGCCATTTTCCTGCGCATTGGGTGCCAGCCTCTCCGCCCTGTTGCCTTATGGCTGTCGTGCTTTTGTGGACCTTTTGACCCAAGGGCCCAAGCACTGATTGCATGGACTTGCCCGCTTGGATGAACTATGTCATGCTCATGGTCGATTTGCCTCAACATGTTTGATCACTCTGCTTGGACCTCCCAGAACATACAGTTCGCAAAGCCACTGAAACGATCAGAGAATGGCTAAACTCTCTCATCCAGAGATATGTCTTCGGTGATCTTGCGTTGCTTGTTCTGCCAAACGGGTTTCAGATCTTCTTTCGACGGGGAGTCCGGCCTCCCGACGGACGCGTCCGTGCAGGTGAAGTGTCAGGGGCTGCTGCAGAAGGCGACCTCCTTCGCCTCGGCCCAGGAGCTGCGGAGCGCGCTGGGCAGCCGCACCGTGAAGCTCTTCCAGAGCCTCTCCGAGCTGGAGAAAGAGAAGACAGGACGTTGAGATCGGATTTGGGTCGGTCTTAAAGTCTGAAACGGTTTAAACGCACCAAAAGGGGGTTTAAAGGAGAACAGGCATTTTGGGGGGTACCCTAAAATGGCACACCTATTTGGGAATATTGGAATATTTGGGAGCTGTGAAAGTCGACTTGGGAAGCGGTTCAACAGCAAGGCCCAATTCATGATGCCACTCCTTCGGGTGGTTCAGTGTGCATGTGCAAAGGACAATCCTTGGGTTTCCTTTCTTGCGAGGCACCTTCACGGGTTCGGAAGCCCTGCTGTTGCTGATGCACGCGGCCACCATGGAATTCCTGGAGTCCATGAGCAAGAGCCACGAGCGGGCGCTGTTCCAAGGCCTGCAGCAGGAGCCATACGCAGCGCTCATGGGGAAGGAGGAGTGCGGGGTCGCCAATTCCCTGGCCCAGGCTCGGGACGAGTTTCCCTTTGCTCGCTGAGTGGATATTTACCTGTGGAATTGGACAAGTTCACATTTGGGTGTGGCTCAAAAGTAAGGAGCTAGGGTTGTGCAGGTTTTGGTCTTTGGTTCCATTTATCCAGGGGCTAGTTTGGTACATTTCTTTGAGCCACCGCCATTTGGTTGGGCCATGGGTGCAGGCCTCGTTGTCGGAGTATGCCATGGAGCAGCTCGCGAAGATGGCGGGACGGGGTTTGGTGCCCAGGGAGGAGATGGAGACCAGCCTGCGCCGCACCGCCAGCTCTGCCAAGTCCTTGACAGACATCACCCACCTCGCCAAGTGCCTGAAGTTTGGGAACTTCCCCAGGACAGAATCAGCATGTGTCAAACAAGTAGGCTTTCAGTTGAGCGGCCATTGTTTGGCCGCAATCGAATGTAGCAGGGAGAGGGGCAGTAGAAATTGTGCACCGCGCCACACGCGCAGAAGCATGCGGAAGGCTTCGCGGAAGGGATTTGTTCGCGGAAGGATTGCGGAAGCTTTGTGGCTGACATGAAATTGAATGTTTCAGTGCGTGCATGGAAAAGCACGGAGAAACGATTACAGCAGAAGAAAGAAGGTGTTGCTGCGTACAAGAAACGCAATGCTTATATACTCGAAGAGCTGTTGCCAACAGTAAGCCAAGAAGACCAAAACAGCCAGCGTATTTCGCGGAAGGTTTGCGGAAGCTCCGCGGAAGCTCCGCGGAAGCTCCGCGGAAGGGTGGCCCCGTGTTTGCAGGCAAGTGGCCACGCAGCATGGGCAGCCCAATGGAGCCCAAGCCTACACAGGCTGCGGCGAAACTACCTTACTTGAAATGATTTTCCTTTCTGCGCCGATACTTGCGGAAGCAAGTCTTGTAAGCCATGCGCCGCGGAAGGTTTGCGGAAGCAAACAATGAAACACATGTGGGCTGAAAAAAATACCCCGCGCCTTTTCGTTATGTAAGGGGCCGTCCCTTAACTTGTTTCGCAGGCCAAAACCATTGTAAACCGATACAGAGGAAAAAAAACCGATACCCCCAGAAGCCATGAAGGCACACATCAGGTCCTAGTTGTTGTCGCAAACCAAGATTGCGGAATCATAAATTTGCAGGGCCCAAACCGATACCCAAACCAATACCCAACCGATACCCAACTCATTGGCCGCCATGCCGAATCCAACCAGCTGCCCTGCAGCCTTCTCTGGAGCTGCCAACATGTACTTTGTGTACTACATTTGTACTGAAAAGTTGCGACTGCCGCTGTGGAGCTGCCAAAATGTACTTCGTATACTACACCATACTACACTTGCTTGCACTGAAAAGCTGCGACTTTCGAGCCGGAGCTGCCAAAGTGTCCTGCGCATACTACTGAAAAGTTGCTACTTTCCAGCTGGAGCTGCCAAAATGTACTTTGTGTACTACACTTGTACTGAAAGTTGCGATTTCCAGCTGGGGCTGGGAGCTGGCAGAGTGTACTTCGCATACTACACTTGTACGGAAAAGTCGCGACTTTCGAGCCAGAGCTGCCAAAACACTGCAAACCGATGCAGAGGAAAAAAAACCGATACTGACCGATACTGAGGCATAATGATACAAGGGTTGTCCATGGTTTTTTTTTTCAACCCATGTGCCGCGGAAGGATGTGGAAGGGTCCGCGGAAGCTTGAATAATGTCCAAGCAAGTTTGTAGGGAATAAAAACCAACTCTCAGTTGGCTTTGTTCTAAATTTGTTCATGGCCCCATTTGGCTCCACGGCTGAGTGTGCCAGAACTTTCGGTTTGCCCAGGACTCTATGTGTTGAGCTGCATGAGACCTGTGCGGCACAGATTGCGCGCACTGGTGGCTTCAGGCCGGCTTCGGAAGCTTCGGGAACCAACACGAGAGAGTAGTCATGTTTGGCTAAATTCGGGTGATCGACTGTGGTTTTCTCAGATTTCTTGAGTTGCAGCACATGGCCAAGGAGTTTCTTTGTTTGACCCGACCGCGTTTGGAAGAGCCTGCGGACTCAATGTGATGTGTCTGTGTCTCTGTGTGTCTCTGTGTGTCTCTGCGTGTCTCTTTGTGTGTGTGTGTCTCTGTGTGTGTCTCTGTGTGTGTCTCTGTGTGTGTCTCTGTGTGTGTCTCTGTGTGTGTGTGTGTGTCTCTGTGTGTCTTTGTCTGTGTCTGTGTCTGTGTCTGTGTGTGTGTGAATGTTCGAAGATTTTCAGGTGTGCCAACGTGCAACAATGACACTTTTTGGGTGGGATGAGACCTTGAGCAGATCGCTGCTTCGATTATGTGTTTTGGCAAGAAGAGTAAGGAACCTTTTCTATTTTGACTAGTGTCAGCTGTGACGGCTGCTTGGCAGTCTGTGGTAAAATTGGTGGCATAGAGACGACAAGCACGGCCACCTAAGATCTTGTGCAAACCTCGGATAAACGTTGAAGCGCGGCGAATGCGCCAACTGAGGCTTGTGTCACTCGGTTGGCAAAAGGCTGTTGATCCAATTGGGCTACGGAATCATTCCCAATATGCAGCGTCACCATGTTTGCATTTGTCCACTCGATTGTCTATCGTCTCTGACTGCACCTACAGAAAGACGCCAATGTTCCCACGTCTACTCAGAGCGCGAGTGCATGTAGGCTGGAGTGAGCGTGCAGTAGCCTTGAGCCAGCGTTGTGATTGCTCTGCAGTTGCTTCTCCTATGTTCCGTGCAGGGCAGATGTCGCCCGACACGTGCAGAAGTGCACCAAGCTCGGCGTGCCTGAGGCGGGAGGGCGTCACTTTGGACCGCCTGCCAATTCGAACTTAAGTTGCTGGCCCACGGTAAATGTTTCAGTGTATGGCAGCATGCCACGTGGGGCTAACGCCCCTGGTGGCCAACTCTTCATCTCCCCGGCTTTTCTCTGAGTTCAGAGCTGAAGAGTGACACAAACAATCGCGCAAAGGAAGGCATGAGCCAAAGTGCCAATCAGGTTCCACGTCAATTGGAGGGAGGGTACCCTCATTCATACGATCAGCCACAACGGCTAGGCAATGAAAAGCCCACCGCCGGCTTCCGAGGCCATGGACCCTGTTCTGTGCCATTTGCAGGCGCGGGGAGGGGGGGGATGTTTAGTTTATTTCAAGACGATCACACCAAAGGTTGGACTAGATGTTGTTTTTTTTTGGGGGGACAAGACAATCACACCAAAGGCTGAACTAGATGGTGTGTGTGGGTGTGCCGTGCAGCTGATGCAGGGATGTTTGCGTCCAGTTAGCTGGTGTGCTGAATATTGTTTGGACCTTGAGCAAAAACAGCTGTCTCTGCGGGTTGGAAGTTGAGTGTCGCTTGAAACTTGAAACGATGCGATTCTGTGAGGCAACCAGCGGAGCAGGCGCAACATGCAAGAAACGCAGCATACAAAGAGGTGATCTGGGTGTGGGTCAAAATTAAACCACCAGGGGACCGCAGGTTTTGGTCCTGGGTTCCATTTAGCAGTGTTCCATTTTGCGCACCCACAGCCATCTCAAAGTGCTGCGCGCTGGAGGGAAGCAGAGAGAAGCAGATGTAACTCCTCAACAAAAGAGCCGCCAACGCATTCAAAGCTGTCTCCTTGCGGGCGCATCTGAACATGGTGCGATGGATGTGTGCTGGAGGTAGCCTCGGCACGCCAAGAAGAACAAAAACTCGAAGCCTTTGCCTTCAATCATATCATGTTACGCGAATCTACGTCGGTGGTTGCTTTTGTTTTTGCTTTCATTTCACAAGATTTGAAAAACAACAGACAAAAACAAAAAACAACACCCTCGGTGCGTCTTAGGGCAACCAAAAGGAACTCTGTGTATCTTGAGAGCCATCGACAGGCCATGGGCGGCTTGGAGCGCTTCGCCGCCGAGGGCGCGGCGGGCTGTGCGGTGTTTCTGGTGGGGGCGGCGGAGCGCCTGGGCGCGCCGGATCTTCTGAGCGTGGAGCTCTACAAGGACCTCTCCAAGGCGCACGGAGAGAAAGAAAACGGGCAGAGTACATGGCTGTGGTTGTCAAAATCAATGGGATCCCTTTTTGGGGGTTTTCGGTGCACCCATTTTAGAACCCAGTTTTAGTGGGGGATTGGGATGTTCACTGGGGGTACGATTTGGATTTTGACCCATGGCCACACGGGGGTTGATCAAAACGGTTCTTTACGTGGGATGACCATTGGGGAACCCCACTTTCAAAAAAAACATGTGCCACTGAATTGGAAGAGTTGCCCTTGGTCATTTGGGGCCAGGAATCTCAATTAAACCCCATGCATTGATCTCTCTGGCGCAGGTGTCCTTGGGAGAGCTCTGCACCTGCCTCTCCGCCTTGTCTTCTAAGGAGGGGAGGTGGTTTGGGGCAAGTTGAAGTGGACGGGCTGTGGGTAGCGACTTGAACCGGCTTTCTCCATGTCGTAGCCTTTTACCTTCTGGGGTCTGACACACTGAGCCAG